AGTCACTTGAAAATTTGAATCACCATAGCAACAATCGTCACTTTCATTTAGATGGTCTGACACATGGCTTTTATAATTTTTTCAGTTTGACATGTTATTGATGTATATTTTCATTTTTAGGTGTTATCATACTTGTATCCATGGAATATGTAGTGAAGAACCTGAGTATATATGTGTATGTGATCTTGGATGGACTGGAGATGACTGTAATACAAACTGTGGATGTCATAATCACAGTACTTGTAATAATGGTATTGGTCTATGTGATGAATGTCAATGTAAGTACCATGTCATGTTACTATATGTGACTAATACAAACTGTGGATGTCATAATCAGTACTTGTAATAATGGTATTGGTTTATGTGATGAATGTCAATGTAAGTACCATGTCATGTTACCTATATGTGACTGTAATACAAACTGTGGATGTCATAATCACAGTACTTGTGATAATGGTATTGGTTTATGTGATGAATGTCAATGTAAGTACCATGTCATGTTACTATATGTGACTGTAATACAAACTGTGGATGTCATAATCACAGTACTTGTAATAATGGTATTGATCTATGTGATGAATGTCAACGTAAGTACCATGTCATGTTACTATATGTGACTAATACAAACTGTGGATGTCATAATCACAGTACTTGTAATAATGGTATTGGTTTATGTGATGAATGTCAACATAAGTATCATGTCATGTTACTATATGTGACTGTAATACAAACTGTGGATGTCATAATCACAATACTTGTAATAATGGTATTGGTCTATTTGATGTAATGTTTTAATGGATTTAATTAAATGTGCATTTCATTTATCAGTAAATACCGGTAGCAATGTTTAAACTCAGTAATTAAGACATTTAAAGTAATTCTACAATAAAGACTACTTCTATTTTTTCAGACTGGACTGAGGGTGACAGCTGTGAACTTTGCAAACCTGGTAGTTATGGCAATGCCACAACAGAAACTGGATGTTTAGAGTGTGCCTGTAATGGTCATGGTGATTCAAGTTTAAATAATTGCCATGGCAATACTGGAATTTGTTACTGTATTGATAACACACGTGGTGATCACTGTGAACATTGTGTGGATGGTTACTATGGCAACCCAGTGTAAGTATTGTAAATATTATATAATTTGGCTCTCCATGTAATACAGTGTTGATATGATATTCATCCAACTCAACCCTGGGTACTACACTTTGAAAATGATTTTTGGAGTGGATCTGGGTTGGTTGTCATTTCAGCCTCTGTACCCTGTACTGCCATAAATTATTACTACTAGTAGGAGAACAGATAAGAAGGTATGCATGAAGGCAGTACAGGGTCACATCAACCTATGCTATTTGTGTTGATCATTAAGGCTGCTGTACTGCCTATGTGCATACTTTGCAGTATTCTCATGATAACACATTAAACAGGTGGCCTTTATATTCACTTCACTTTATATGCAAATTGTCTTGGGAATGCCCAATAGTGCTATGGTTAGTGGCAATCTTTATATAAATGTTGTCACTCACAGGTTTTACTTATCTTTTCAGAAATAACAATAAATGTTACAAGCTTTGCGAAGGTCGTACATTTCTAACCAATGCGGTGGCATCAGCATTTGGATCACATGAAGGTAAAGGTGTAATTGACGCATCCCACGGATACTGTCTTTGGATCATCACGGTGTTTGATAACGTAACTATGTCATCGTTATTAACCATACCGACAATAACACTTACGCTGGAAGAGAATTTACAAATAGAATGTCAGGTATGTACTCCCGATAAAATATGTTTTCTGCTGAAGGAGATGCAACTTCAGTTTTGTCATTTTATTGTTTTCAAGCTTTGCTTTCATCACAGATGAAAGAGTTCAGCTGGTTGCCTAGGTGATCCCAGGCTGACCTCTGTAACTTAGGTTGGCCTCAGCATACCAGGCTGACCTCAGTATCCTAGGTTGACCTCAGTATACCAGGTTGACCTCAGTATACCAGGTTGACCTCAGTATACCAGGTTGACCTCAGTATACCAGGTTGACCTCAGTATACCAGGTTGACCTCAGTATACCAGGTTGACCTCAGTATACCAGGTTGACCTCAGTATACCAGGTTGACCTCAGCATACCAGGTTGACCTCAGCATACCAGGCTGACCTCAGTATCCTAGGTTGACCTCAGTATCCTAGGTTGACCTCAGTATACCAGGTTGACCTCAGTATACCAGGTTGACCTCAGTATACCAGGTTGACCTCAGTATACCAGGTTGACCTCAGTATACCAGGTTGACCTCAGTATACCAGGTTGACCTCAGCATACCAGGTTGACCTCAGCATACCAGGTTGACCTCAGCATACCAGGCTGACCTCAGCATACCAGGCTGACCTCAGCATACCAGGCTGACCTCAGCATACCAGGCTGACCTCAGCATACCAGGCTGACCTCAGCATACCAGGCTGACCTCAGCATACCAGGCTGACCTCAGCATACCAGGCTGACCTCAGCATACCAGGCTGACCTCAGCATACCAGGTTGACTTCTGTATACCAGGTTGACCTCTGTATACCAGGTTGACCTCAGTATGCCAGGTTGACCTCAGTATGCCAGGTTGACCTCAGTATGCCAGGTTGACCTCAGTATACCCAGCTGACCTCAGTATACCAGGTTGACCTCAGTATACCAGGTTGACCTCAATATACCAGGCTGACCTCAGTATACCAGGCTGACCTCAGTATACCAGGCTGACCTCAGTATACCAGGCTGACATCATTATACCAGGTTGACCTCAGTATACCAGGCTGACCTCAGTATACCAGGTTGACCTCAGTATACCAGGCTGACCTCAATATACCAGATTGACCTCAGTATACCAGGCTGACCTCAGTATGCCAGGTTGACCTCATTATACCAGGTTGACCTCAGTATACCAGGTTGACCTCAATATACCAGGCTGACCTCAGTATACCAGGTTGACCTCAGTATACCAGGCTGACCTCAGCATACCAGGTTGACCTCTGCATACCAGGTTGACCTCTGCATATTAGGTTGACCTCAGTATACCAGGTTGACCTCAACACCTCAGACTGACCACAATACCTCAGACTGACCTCAGTTCTTCAGGTTGACTTCATTATTTGACCATGTCCTTTTTTTTGCAGAAAGACCATGTCTATGTGTATGATGGTATCCCAGAATCCATCAGTGGGGTACACAGTCAATCACAATCTGTTATGCTTGGTGCTTTCTGTGGAACTGGTTTACGAGAGCCAATCACTGTCAAGGCAACTTCTGGTGAGGACAATAACTCTAAGCCAGTGATTTTCACATAAAATTATTGCATTGTTTCACTTTATACTCCCTATTGCCAAGGTTGTAATAACTATGCTATGTTTCAGATATAAATTATCACAATATTATGTGATATTAACCCTATGAATTATCTTTTTTACAGGTGTTATGACAGTTGTCTTTGAAGCTAATATCGCCCAGTCAGCTATCACTCAAGGGTTTACTGCACTATATACAATAGAGGAATGTCCATTACGTTGTCATGGTAATAGACAATGTGTTAACGGGCACTGTGTTTGTATGGATCGTTATCGAGGCAGTGATTGTCAGATACAGATATGTCCACAAGATTGTAATCAACATCTATCACAGGGTGTATGTGATGACGTAAGTAATTATGGTTATTATTTGTCACATGTATAACACATGTACGGCACATGAACAACAATACAATACGTGTTTGGCACATGTACAATACGTGTTTGGCACATGTACATTACGTGTTTGGCACATGTACATTACGTGTTTGGCACATGTACAAATGTGTTTGGCACATGTACAATACGTGTTTGGCACATGTACAATACGTGTTTGGCACATGTACAATACGTGTTTGGCACATGTACAATACGTGTTTGGCACGTGTACAATACGTGTTTGGCACGTGTACAATACGTGTTTGGCACGTGTACAATACGTGTTTGGCACGTGTACAATACGTGTTTGGCACATGTACAATACGTGTTTGGCACGTGTACAATACGTGTTTGGCACGTGTACAATACGTGTTTGGCACGTGTACAATACGTGTTTGGCACGTGTACAATACGTGTTTGGCACATGTACAATACGTGTTTGGCACATGTACAATACGTGTTTGGCACATGTACAATACGTGTTTGGCACATGTACAATACGTGTTTGGCACATGTACAATACGTGTTTGGCACATGTAGATCACATATAGAGGTAATACAAGGTTATGAATTTGTTATCTGAAACATCTTTCCTGTAGGTTCTAGGTTTATGTAGATGTTCGGAGGGATTTGCTGGATCTGCTTGTGACATTTTGATTACATCAAGGGAAGTCATTTGGAGAACCCTCTATGATCCATTACTTCAAGCCCCTTCTGATAATAGCTACCCATCCCTATCAAGAATGGGACATTCCATGGTAGCTGCAGAGAATAATGAATTATGGGTATATGGTGGTTATAGTCTAGAAGAAGGAATCAAAAGAGATGTACAAATGTAAGTAATTCATATCGAGTAGTTACCATGGAAACACCAGAATACTGTGAATCAGTAATTTTTTACAATTGAAATCCTGGCAAAGTGAATCCTGTCATAGAGGGCCTGGTGAAATATTTAATGCCACATTTTTTCAAAATAATAATATTTATAATAATAACTTTATTATGCTGTATTGTGAAATTACATCTCAATTTTAGCTAATTGTAATAAAAGTATAACAAAAAGAAGTAACTAAATATGTTGTAATTATACACCATTTCGTCGTTTGTTAGTACAGTCAAACCTGTGTTAACGACCACCTGTGCAGAGCGGCCACCTGCTCATAGCGACCACCTTAGTACAGTCCCTTCGCAGTTTACATGTTATAGACACTGAATATAGCGACCACCTGTCCAACGGGACCAGCGACCACCCTATTGTAGACCTATTCACACTTTAACCTTTGTGGAGACTGGAAAGATTTTAACAACAAATTAAAACAGTTTCATTCAAAGTTTGAAATGAAAAACTAGCTTGTTTCCGATCGGTACTATACTATCGATCCCCAGCCGGCCAGCGGCAATTCTGTGGACTGTCTCGCACATGGAGAGCAAATTTCTCTCGTCTCGAAAACAAAGAAAAATTAACCAGTTTTATTAAATGAGAGATGTTTTATTTACCTTGTCGACATGAAATATCCAAACAAAATAATAAAACATTCGTTTATTTCGTTTTCATCGCGGGATTGCAAAATTCGACCTATTTTGGCCGCCTTGTTGTTTGTTGTTGATCGTTATAAATTATGCTAATGAAGCGCATGGGCAAAACATATTGTTACTGAGGGGTCATCTCAGGGTTATTCTCAACGAAAGGTGTTTTTTTATTTTGATCCTATTTTTTTATAAAAGGTACATGTAATATCAATAATTCGCAATCAAGAAAACTCGTTTCGTTTGGGCAGTTTTGACACGTCGATGCTTGCAACAAATAACTGTAAAATTGCGTGTACGGTCATCATGTTTCATTTCCAGTTCGTTTGACTTTCTGATTCAACACCGAGAGTTGGAGCAATCGTTATGAGTTTGATAAATTTTGTTTATTACCAATGCTTCTTCATTTTTAATGCTTGCTTGTTTGTTTTTTCAAACACGGCAACTTTGTCTGTGCATTTTGTCACAGTGTACAATCGACAATACTAACGATGGGACTGATTACCGCCTGTGATGGAATATGTGTAAGAGACTGGGGAATAAGACTGCATGGCGAGAGTGTGGAAGACCGAGCTGAAATGCCAATGCAGCTGATCGTTGACAATCGTTCTTATGCATTAAATACACCAATGAATCCATGGGCAGATTCACTTGGTTTCAGTGAATTTACATGATATAATTTGTAGTAAAAAAGTAAAGCTGTGTAATTATCCAGATGAAAATGAGTGACTTTTATTAAAAAAGACCTATTCATTGTACAATGTGTAGGTTTGTTTTGCTTATGATCTCCCGTAAAATTCCCACCCTAATTAATATTCATGATTGAATGAATAAATTAGGCCACCTCCATATAAAGACCACCTGTCTATAAAGGACAGTTTGGCTCAGTCCACTGACTGTCCTTTATAGACAGGTTTGACTGTAGTTATAAACAACTAAGATAATTCCTCAAGTATCAATTTGATATGACACTAAGTGTTTGATTTACAGTGCCATAAACAATTTGATATGTGCATCCGCTTTATATAAATTTAGGTACAAATTTTCCATTGACAGTGCATGCCATGAAAGAATAATTTGAACAAGTCTGCAGCATTACTGACAAATTCCAACATCATATCACATATACTTAAAATTCACAAATCATTGATCATTTACATTTTGTGTGTGGACTGTGTCAAAATCATTCACATTGGCGGTGTTTGCTGTTGCTGTTATTAAATATATACTGTAAAACACTTAGAAATAGCTACATGCCATTTTAGATAATTTGACTCCATGCATGAATTATTGAATCTTAATTTAGCTAAAGTGCCAACAATTTCATTGTGAGAATGTACTTTATTGTAAATTAGTGACATCTTGAATTAGCGAAATTATAGATTAGCTAAATTACCTAAAATAACATGCTAGCTAAAAAGACATGTTTTACAGTACGTCTGTGTAAATCATTTAATAAACCAACTCATTTGAAACGTTGTCACCGACGGTCACAATCTAGGGATGATTTGGGAGCATCATTTTGTATGCTGGTTGGAAATAATGTGCTTGATTCATTTGTGAACCTGAAGAATGTCGGCCATTTTGTATATTTTACCCATTAGGTATGACCTTAACAGTCACACTTGGCAAGTGAAATCAACATCAAGTATTAATATGGAACCACTTGGTAGATACTACCATGCAGCAGTCTATACGAACCCTAGAACTATGTTTATCCATGGTGGAATTACAGAACTGGGCATTGCCAAAGACTTCTGGGTGCTGGATTTAGATGAATCTGAGTGGACACGAGTTGAAGTAAGTCATAGTTCTTACCATGAATAGTATCGATACCCAATTAACACAATTATAGAAAGCTGGCAACATGATTGGTTGACATGCCATCTTAAAGTTATCTCATCTATTTATTTAGCAATATAATATTTTTTTACTGGCTCATACAAGTAATTGAAGCTGGTCACAGTATTAATAATATTTGCTGGTTAGACTGAGAGAAAAAATTTCTCTGTTTCTCGTTTCCACACACATTTTGAACTATGCGCCTCAGACGTTTTTTTTTCTTCTAAAGCACTTGTCTCAAATTTCTCCCATTTTAGCAAAAAAAAAAAAAAAAAAATTGTTTAATTCCTGGCATTATGATGTAAATTTTTTATTCCAGATTCCATTTATATTACCTGCCTTAGCTGGTCACAGTATGACATTAATACGTGATAGGTATATTGTGATATTAGGTGGTTATTCACCTGAAGATGGTTTGTCCGATGTTGTTGTACAATATGATACAGAACAAACACAATGGTTGGTATTAGATGTGAAAGGTACACCACCAACTGGTAAGTGCAAATGCTAATAATATACGAATGCCTACTAAATATGCTAATGAGGTCATATGGCTACTGAGTATGCTAACGAGGTCATGTGACTACTAAATATGCTAATGAGGTCATATGGCTACTGAATATGCTAATGAGGTCATATGGCTACTGAATATGCTAATGAGGTCATGTGGCTCCTAAATATGCTAATGAGGTCATGTGGCTCCTAAATATGCTAATGAGGTCATATGGCTCCTAAATATGCTAATGATGTCATATGGCTACTGAATATGCTAATGAGGTCATATGGCTACTGAATATGCTAATGAGGTCATATGACTACTACATATGCTAATGAAGCACACATAGCTATTATACATAGGTTGGATGTACAAGCTTATTATACCCAGCACATTGCCGGCGAGGGATATAGTGGTTACCAGTGCCTGTCTGTATATTTGTATGTCCGTGTCGTGTCGAAAGCACTACTGCAGATAAAAACATTCACACTGTAGTATTGTCATTGCACACTAGATCTGATCAACATATGTCATGACTATATATGGTCATGTGTCATTATTTAAAATACATAAATATCATATTTAGAGCACTATTGCAGATAAAAACATTTGACCAGTGGAGACATTGGGTGTGACCTCATTAAAATGT